GAGCGGCGGGGGCGGCACGTTCGGGATACAGATTGCCAAGGCATCGGGATGTCACGTGACGACAAGCTGTTCCGGCCCGAACATCGAGCTGTGTGAAAGCCTTGGCGCGGACACCGTGATTGATTATAGGAGCAAGGATATTGTGGCGGAGTTGAAGAAGATGCCACCGTTTGATCTCGTGGTGGATAACGTCGGCTTGCCGGCAAATCTTTACTGGGCTGCGCCCTCATTTCTGAAACCCGGCGCACCGTATGTGCAGCCCGGTGCGTCCGGCATTGATCTGGCCTTCGCCTGGGAGGTTTTATGCAAACAAGTGTGGCCACGTTGGTTGGGGGGTGGGCAGAGGCCGTGGGAGTTCCTGCAGCTGGTGAGCAAAGTTGAGGATTATGCGCAGATTGGGCGCTGGATGCAGGAGGGAAAGGTGCGCGCGGTGCTGGATGAGGTTTTTGATATGGAGAATAAGGGGCCTGTCAGGGCATTTGAGAAATTGAGGACCGGGAGGACGAGGGGCAAGATTGTTGTTAAGATTGCGGAGCGGTGGGAGGAGTAAGGGGAGGGGTAGGTCGGGAGACTTACAGTTGGCCAGGAGCTAGGTGTCCAAATTCTTGAGAGATTCTCACTCCAATGATAGAATTTATACGGAGTACAACTAGGTTTTTAATTCATGGCATCAAAACGTAGTACTGGGAAAATACCAAAAATGGCTACAGTTAAATATGAAAAGACCAGAAGAGGCCATTAATTGCACTAATCTGAATGTCAAACATAGTACTACTACTTAAATGTAGTATGTATTATTATCGTCGCAGTGGATACATTCATCATATTTCAAGGAAATCCTAACGAAGACATATGAAATATACACTACTAGTACATGACTTTATGATAGTAGGAACGCGTATATTCCAATAAGAACACTCCAAGAGTCTAAACAGCTTAAAAGATCAAGACAACGTTCAAAACCCTCCCCCTTCTATGCCTATTTCGGAGTGAGTCCGTCAGTTCAGGAAACCAATTTCTTTCCAGATGTGAACGTATTTTCTCACTATCTCCTCACTGACTGACCCCACGGCAGTAAGGATCTTCAAGAGTCATCTTCACGTCCAGAACGAGCCCCCCCGCAAGACATGCGAAGGTAGTTTGTCGTCCAAGAAGTCTAAGAGAGTAGCAGCTGGGTTGTTTCGTGGCCCTTCCGCTTGCACGCGTTCAACACACTCCTCGAAAGGGATCAAGTTCGGAATGTTCAACGCGTCTGCCAATATGACATTCATCTCGCGCCAGGGCTGGCTGACGGGGCTCTCGATGTGGTAGATGGGTAGAGAATGCGACCGGAGCGGACCAGGTCGGACAACGCACCGGCTATATTATTAACCGGAGTCCAATAAACAGTACCGTCTACGTCCGGCAAGGCTTTCAATGTCTGCGACGGCTTGACTAAAAATTCGAAATGCTCCATTGGATCCTAGTACCCGCTGGACTTGGAATTGGCGATCTGCCCTAGACGGACAGCCATGGTACGGAATTGCAGGGTATCCATCAAATCAAATCGAGGCCCCTGATTTGCTTTGATTTGGTATTTTGTCAAAAGTCGTCATCTGCTTTGTTTGACTGATCTGTCAAATCGAGTCAAATCTCAGTAAGCAATATATTTCTACTTGAATTCTCATCCAGTTCGAGAGTCCGCCAAGACTATTATTATCCTATCGAGAATGAAATAAGTATCATCTAGAACCCAGCGCCAAGCTCATGTAATTGGCTGTTGCAATAAAAAGCCCTAAAAATGCGGCCCGAAAGATCAGTCTTTTGATTGGATAAAGTTCGTATTCCTGCCTTCTTGAGTTTAAGGCAGCTCTATTAGCCTGCCAAGGCTGCAGAATCTTGCCAAGCCGTACCCCATCAAAATCAGAATGCGCATACAGAATGCGCAGAAAGAGGGCACAGAATTAGCACGCAGAATGCGCAGAAAGAGCGCGCAGAAAGAGCGCATAGAACGTTCTTCTACTGTAGTATTCTTCTATCCTCCTATCCTTTTACCCCCTTTTTTTTATCTAAAAAAGTCACATCTAGTCCTTGAATATTTCAAAATAAGGGACTTTTCTGTCAAGACTTCAGTTCGACTACCAGTAATTTCAAGTTGCCAAGCGTTTGATTTGATTTGATGGACACACTGCCCGGGAATTGGTCCTGATGCTCATGTAGAGTCTCGTCGAGCATCCTTTCGCATCCCCACTTTGCCTCTCCGTACCCGTTCAGCAGTACCGCTGTTAATGCCAACTCTCTCTTTGGGCAACATGGTTTTCCTTCTCGCTATTATTAGGTTGTAGTAGCCAACGACACCAATAGAAGACACCATCTGGAAACTGAATTTGAAGCCCTCAGGGCGCTGTGACACGATTTTGCAGGCAAAATGGATCAGAGTGCGTATGATCTGGACTGCAACCCAAAGCCGGGCAGAGGGCGCTTCGCACTCATGGGCCATGCATTGTGAACTTAGGTGGGTGACGAACTCACGAGTCCTTCGTATTCGCTGCTCGAGAGTCCGAACCTTGGCTTCGAGCTGTCAGTCTGCAAAACCAGCAGCTTGGGCCTGTTTTTTGTCAAAGGATCGAATGCCTTTATCCCTCATGGCCTTCTGTTGGCGGGGATAGGGCTCTACGTTCCTTTCACGGTTCAGACAGACAACCGTCTTCATGGTAGAGATTTGTGCGATTTGATCGACCAAGTGGCTGCGTAAGCACCCGGACGGTCCGGTTACCAAAACAACCTTCGTGCCGTCATCTGGTACCGTAAGGAAGGATGAAGGCACGGGTGCCGAGAGCCCGGCAGCGTACTTCTAAATATAGCCGTCAACAGTCATTTTGCGAACTGCAAGGGCAGCCATTTCGCTACCGGTTCGCGGCGGCGTGCTGTACTTTTTGGTAAGATCCTCTGGTGTCTCAGGAGCTGGTGTGGCGACCGGCTTGCTCTCCGCCAGCGAGTAGAGGCGCCTTTGAGTCTGGTCGCAGAGAGCTGCTACGATCTGGGTGCCGACCTCTTTGTCGGTTGAGCCAGGGAAGCATGACCCCATGCTGGTTATGCAAGCGCCGCGCTGTGGTGGTGTATGAAAGCTTGCCGAGGGAGACGACCGGGTTCTGCTTCAAGTGCCCGAGCATAGACCTTAGGTTGCCTGGCAGAAGACGCCATTTTTAGCTGAGACAGCTACAAGGTGATGGCTTCGCGAGTCAGCGGCTTCACTGAGGAAATCGCGCTTGTGCGGTGGATCCTTGAGCAACACTGCCGGGTTCCCACTGCCGCGCTAAAATTATTTACGAAGACCGGCTAGGCTTTGAAGGATCCGCTTTCCTTTTCGAAGAAGTGGGTTTGAGGGCGATATTAAACATTCCGTTCTTGCAGATCGGTCGGAAACCGAAGGTTGGATTTCAGAACAATCATGTTCTTCTGCATCATCAACAGCACCTTGACCAAGCTCGAGACACCCGATGCAGCCTCGCCTTGTCCGCCTTCAGTGTATCCATCAAATCAAATAAACCAAATCTTGAACCCTGTTTGATTTGTTTACCTAATCCAAGAGGTCGATTTGATTTGACTCGTTTGTCAAATGGTGTTAAATGTTAGTAAGTAATGTTTTGTGAAGAGGGCTGTCTTTTTGTAAATTCATCTCATACAAGGAGTCTGCCAAGACTTTGTTTCCCATCAAAAATAAAACAGCAGAGTACTGATTTTAAAATAATTCATGAGTCCGCCAAGACTTCTATTTGACTAGTAGTACTTTGTCAATTCCAGAGTCTTGATTTGATTTGAAGAAAGTGTTGGGATTGGCCGTCAGCCAATCCCTGGCCGCGTAGGTCACGTGACTGCGCACGTGCCACTCCGCACTGTATTTAGCCTCTCCTTCTAGAGATAGAATTCTGCAGGTAGATAGAATCCATTCATCCACTTCATCAGAAAGCACGGTTTTGGGTTATTTGCCAAGCATTTGATTTGGTTATTTGACTCAATTTGATTCAAATGGACACAATGGTCACCCCTGACCTCACGCAACAGGTTGTTTATCTCTCTACGAAATGCATCGTATGCTTTGACAAGAAAGTCTTCCAAAACTTGATTGTGTCTGTACCGTATCAAATCTTTCAGATACGGCTGTACATGATATATTCTGGCCCCCAAATCAGTACAGCTTCAGGTGGCATGTCATGGTGAATGATCTTGATTTCTGTTCTGGGCCACTCGTAACCTCTTTGCAAAATTAGGTGCTCGGAATCGATGGAAAAATCTGGGGAAACCACCCTCCTCTATGAGGACCACCGCATCATGAAGATCATATGTATACTCCTCGGCAAACTTGTTTGGGGGTGGCCAGGTTGGAACCTTCCACCCCCGTCGTTTCCCTGTCACGTACGATATCCTCATAGCTCATACAAAGGAATTTCATGCCAAGAATCAGGGGTTAGAAGAACGGAGGCTCTAATCACGCCACTCCTAATAACATTATCTCATTTCGCCGAATCAACAGGATGCTCCCAGGAGGAAATCAGTGACTCACATGAAGATCAACCATCAGACACAGTTGTCAACTCCTCAGCCGCAGACCCTTTCTGGGCCAGCGGCTATGAGCATTACGAGCTACTACCGAGCTAACATCAGTCATATAAGCAAGAATCTGACTACGTGTGACAAGGACCTCACAGCGTACTGTACGGACTGTTTGATAATTAGCATGGAACCAACCTTCCAGGCATCAGGACACCCTTTTCCTAAATATCAACGGTTCGAAAACATGGCAATATCTCCATCGATAATGAACGGATTGGAATAACCAAATCGGCATCCAAATCGGAATGTTAAATAGATATGACCCCATATGTATTGTTTTGTAGGATCTCTCCAAAGCAAGGCAGCTGTCATGTACGATGGAACGAATATTGTCACTCTTATGTCCCGGAGCTTTTTCCCAAGCCAGGCTAATAAAAAGGTGACACCGGGAGTAACCGAAGACATGCTACTACAGTATGAGGCAGAAGTGCGGAGTATTGTTAGCACAAAACTAGTATCTCGGAGGCGTAACAGGTAATGGACGACATGGCTAAACAGGATGAGCTAGGCGGTGGTTAAAGATGATCTGTGTGGATGGACATAAGAAGTTTCTGAGATAACCCTATCCAATCCCGAACGATTCGTTTACGTTTGTTTCACGGCTTTTAGACACAACTTTTGTATGTGAATCAGTAAGGACGCCGAGTTTTTGGACAGGTTGTCAGGGACCTGCACAGCAGATCCTAATTATTGCCAAGATAGTTTAGAGTAAATGCCCTTTTGGTGCCCTTCGGGCATGATAATTTCAATACACTTCACTCACATTTTCGATCTTGTCTTTTGTTCGTTGTTTTCGCGTCCAGCAGGCTAGCAGTGCCTGATAACTTGGTAAGATAGGATGAACAGAGTTTGCTGGATCGAGTAGAGAATGCTACATTGGGCTATTAAGTTGCATTCCACTATTAAGATGCATTGCGCCATAAAGTTACATCGTGCTTTCAAGCTGTATTGCGCTGTTGAGCACTAGAAGCAGGCAAATAGTCCAATCGAGGTGCGGGGCACGGTGAGCCCCTGGACAGAAACCTCACACTAACTAGTTGGAGCGAGCTACTAACTTCCCTGCTGATCAACTGAGGATTTTCTGGGATTTCTGACGGCGATTCCATTCCTACAGAATCGTATACCCAGGGTACTTGAGTCGGGCCGAAAACTTTCTTTCCCGTACTCCCTAAGTCGGATACATCCACCGCGTCTTGGTGGCAGCACAAGGCCTATACTCTCCCTAACCGTGCCGGAAAGGGGATGAAGCCTAAAACAATTATATATTCCTGCCCCCTCAATCCCTGCCGTCAAATGAGAAGCTCACATGACAATACCCCTAACCTATGCAGTGACTGAATCAGACCTCCTATATTTCGCAGCTAGACTGACTGATGGCTCAAGAAAGTCACAAGACGAGTGAAATAATGATGAGGGTGATCAGTGTAGATGCCGTGGACGCCATGCTTATGATTATGGCTTCGTGATACCTGAGTAATATTGCTATATAAGGGCATTGCACTGTTCTGTTGAGCTCTTCAACACACCTTTTCCAACTTCAAGTCATTCCTTGCAGCGCGAAGCACACATCGGCGCAGTTCTATCATTCTATTCTCAGTCAATCTTTTGTCACAACTAGGGGGCTTTTCACAGTTTTTCTATTCTCAGGCAGCCGCGGCCATGCTGCTTAGCCATTTAACCAGCCTCCTGTCCCTCTTAGCTGCAGCATCTGCAGCTGTGAAGTATGTTAGGTCCAACCACGTGGAGGCGGCATACTTTTACTAATACCCAGTGACAGCCATGAACATTCGTACAACCGTTTTCATCGTCGACAAGATAGAACTACAGCAGGAACCAACGCAAGTGAAGAGTACGACTATGTGGTCGTTGGTTCCGGTGCCGGCGGAGGACCTGTGGCAGCACGACTAGCCTTGGCTGGCCATAGCGTGCTGGTGTTGGAAGCTGGCGAAGACATGGCTGACAGCATCTACACCAACGTGCCGGCTCTTAGTATCCTTGCATCTGAGTATCCGCCCATGGCATGGAACTTCTTCGTCAACCATTATCCCGACCTTGAAACTCAGCGTCGGGACAGCAAAATGACATGGAGGACCCCTGACGGCGAGATATGGGTCCAGCTTCTTAACGGGACCACTCCCCCGGAAGGCTCTGAGCCCCTTGGTATCTTGTATCCACGCTCTGGCACTGTGGGCGGGTCCTCTCAACACAACGCTCAGGTTATGGTATATCCCCATGCTAGCGACTTCCAGTACATTGTCGATCGAACTGGCGATTCGAGCTGGGATCCCAGCAACATGCGACAATACTTTGAGAGACTGGAGAAAGTCGAATACCTCCCCAACAGCGTCGCTGGCCATGGTTTTGCCGGCTGGCTCGCCACCAGCTTGACTGATCTTACTCTCATTGCTGAAGACTTGAAGGTCGTATCCTTAATCTTGTCAGCCGCAACAGCTATGGGCAACAACATCATCACATCTCTCCTCACTACGGTCACAGGCTTGGCTTCCACTCTTCTCCTTGACTTGAACAACCCAAGCTCAGCTCGAGACAAACTGGAAGCCATGTACCAGGTGCCATTGTCCATCAACGCTGCTGACAAAACCAGGAGCGGTCCGCGAAATTTCCTGTACGAAGTCGCCAACACTGTCAACGCTGACGGCACTAGGAAATACAAGCTCGACATCCAGACCAACTCTCTCGTAACCAACATCGTCTTCGACACCACCGGCGACAAACCCAAAGCCGTCGGCGTCGACTACCTCTCCGGTAGGAGCCTCTACCGCGCTGACCCGCGCGCCGCTCCATCCGGCAACGCCGGCACCCCTGGCACTGTCTCCGTCAACCGTGAAGTCATCATCTCCGGCGGGACCTTCAACACACCACAGATCCTCAAACTCTCCGGCGTAGGCCCCGCCTCCGAACTCTCGCAATTCTCCATCCCCGTTGTTGTCGATCTCCCCGGCGTCGGCACCAATATGCAAGACCACTTCGAAATCACCGTCGTCGGCCAGACAGACTCCGACTTCGCCCTCATCGATGACTGCACCTTCCAACTCTCCCAACCGGACCCCTGTCTCGACCGCTACAACAACCCAGGTCTTCTCGGAAGGGGTGTCTACGGCACCTCCGGCGTCGCCTTCGCCGTACTATTCTCCGGGTAACTTACTACGTAGTAGTACGTAGTATTGTTTCTCCGGTACTCCGGTATTCCGTTGGTGCCGCAGCTTGTTGGAGAGAGTTGACAGTGGACTAACTAGTAACCCCTGCCACCGGTGAACCCGACCTCTTCGTAACCGGCGTTCCCATCAACTTCGTCGGCTACTTCCCCGGCTACTCGACCTACGCGGTGCAAGAGAGGAACTACTGGTCCTGGCTGATCCTGAAGGCGCACCCGGCCAACCGCGCCGGAACCGTCAAGCTGCGTTCCACCGACCCGCGCGACACCCCCGTCATCGACTTCAACTACTTCCAGACCGGCACCACCAGCGATGGCGCCGACGAGAAGGACCTGCAAGCGCTCTACGACGGTGTCAATTTCAGTCGTCGCGCCTTCGACAAGCTCATCCCACTCGACGGCAGTTTCGATGAGGTGCAGCCGGGCCGTGGTGTCGAGGACGAGGACGCGGTGAAGCAGTACATCAAGGACGGCGCGTGGGGCCACCACGCCAGTTGCTCGTGTCCGATCGGTGGCGATGACGACCCCATGGCTGTGCTCGACTCCAAGTTCCGAGTGCGGGGCGTGGATGGGCTGAGAGTGGTGGACGCCAGTGTGTTCCCCACCATTCCCGGCTACTTCGTCGCGCTCCCGATCCATATGATCGCGGAGAAGGCAGCGGAGGATATTTTGGCGGCGGCGGAAGCAGCGGACAGGGATACTACCTGACTGCAGAGGGTGAAGCGTTTGGACAATGCTCTGTATTTATATGTTACCATTAGTACGATGCTGTTTTTTGGGTGCCTAGGGAGCCAATAGTACCTACGCTGTTAGTAGGTCGGAGTGCGTGATTAAGCTGGTTTGGTACACAATTAATAAGACTAAGAGGCGGCTGATGCTAGTAATCAAGGCAGAAGCAACAGCGCTACGATACAGACCGGAGCTACGTGCCAAAAATGGTGGTAGATTAGCCACATCATTTTATTCCAAGAGAAGCATGTGGTGGTACCCTACGTATGTTGGCGGCAGTTGGTTTCTTGTGATGGGAAGTGTTAAATGTGGGACAAGGAGGGAAGGTCAGCCATAACAGAGAGTCTTGTATCTGGAGAAGCCTCGAAATTGACTATTAAAGCTCTAGTCACATGGAGTAGCGATTTTGACGCTGTAGTAGTCTCATGTCTCTTGAGACCCCATTCATTGGTGGTAACACCTTTCCCGTTGTTGCACTTCAACGGCCAGTTCGACCACATCATCAGCTGATTCAAAGACTAGTACAATCGAGCAACATATAGACAAGGTCAATGCTTGAGCTGAAACTTGAAGACATTGACCAATCTCGCCCATATTAGCACTTCCCAGGACTCTCTCTATTCAATCCTCAATCGCAAGGGCTTTGACGATCATGCCTGGCGAGTCGGGTGCTGAGACGGGCAGAATCCTGTCTGCCGCAACATCCACGTCTCGTTGTCGAACGACGCCGCTGACATCGAAATCAAAGCGTCTGAAGACGGTGGCGACAATGAGGTACAGCTCAGCCCACGCTAGGTTGATGCCGAGACATGCCCTTGTGCCTCGAGCAAATGGGACCAGATAACGCTGCAATTCCTGGCCCTCTTCACCCAGCCACCTCTCGGGCTTGAAAGCTTGAGGGTCTGGGAAAAGCTTTTCATTCTCATGAAGCAACAGCGTGGTCGAATGTATGGCTGTGCCTGGTGGGATGGTGAGGCCATTGTATGTCAGGGCTTTGTCTGGAAAGGCTCGACACATGCGATGAGTGACGGGTTGCGAGATGCGGAGAGCTTCTTGGATGACTGCAGTCAAGTACGGTAGCTTTTCTACATCTTGAAGCCTAGGACGATCACCACGCCCAGGAATCACTGTCTTCAATTCCTGGAATAGCTTCTGGCGCACGGCAGGATTCGCCGCTATGAAGTATGACACGGCTTTCAGGACGTAGGCACTATGAATTGTCAATGCCGTACGGAAATCCCAAGTGGGCTGTGGAACCCGGAGCTCGCCCTCACGTTGTCGCTGACCCCGCAGTAATCAGACTGAATGCCTCATCGCGAAGACGAACTCTCTCTAACTCTGAAGATGGCAATCTGCTCTCGAGAAGGTCATGGAAAATGGTGCGATGACCCGATTTCTCGTATGAGAGGTCATTGCCATGTCGAATATCTTCCACTAGCTTTGCCAATCCCTAAACGCGCATCAAAGTTCAGCACTGGTCAAGACACAGCCACCTATGCTTTACCTCTCGCACGTCAAGTATATCCCCCATTGCTGGATTGATGATCCTCGAAAACCAGTCCTTGGTAAAGTCAGCAGTGTGGGTATGAATGGTTGAGAAGTCTACCTTACTGGCAAAGAGTATATTGCTTTCACCAGCCAGGGTATCTGGATGTTCTACCACAATACAGTCAGTTGTCAATGCGAAATATGGGGTGGATTGTCATACCACTAGACTTATTGCGAGAAAGGAATCAACATCGTCAAAGGACTTCCGGCCGTAGTCAGACTTCATGACGGTTTGGGTGTCCTTAGAGAAGCAGTACTCGTTCATGATGTCCAGTGTGAGAGCAGCATAGCTATATTTCAGATTTATGGGCTCTGCTGTCTTGCTTGCGGCGTCGTATCGATCGGACAGTCTTTCGATGATATCTTGCACGAAAGGTAGTATCTCAATCACGGAGCGTTTGGCAAAGAATGGGTTCAACGCGCCACGTCTTATGCGATGAAGATCATGATCAACTGTTCCGATTACCTGCGAAGACGAAGAGATTTCAGCTCCAGGTACCAGGTAATGAGCAGGCGAGACTTTTCAAGCGCTTACAGCTGCATATGGTCCGAATGTATTAGCCACGTTGTAAGGCTTCTCAGTCTTCCCATTCTTGATGTTGAAGATTTCGTCATAGTAATGCGGGTCGTTGAAATGCAGCTCATCTGGGTTCAGGCGTACCACAGGACCTTGATGCCGGTCAACTTCTGTATCAAATCAATGTAATGTGCGGCTGAATGGGCTTGCCGTATTTCTCGTGGAGTTCTTTGAGCTTGAAGGTGTACTGTCCCCCGCGAAGGAGATCGTAGTACCATTCGTAGCAATAGGTGGCTATCGCAAGCTTGGGACCTGGAAAGCTGGCAAGCGGATGGAGGAATAAGCGATACACAACCAAGCCAACGACCCAGACGACCAACGAAGCCGTTACAATAGCCACCAGTGACATGTGGTCGGTTGTTATGATTGCCATTTGGTGCAAAGATGAGACACGCTGGGAGAAATCGCGATGTTGTGAGTAGAATTCTCTCTACCAGCAAGAGCTCTAGCTTATCCACTGCCGGCGTTGAGCTTGTTTAGTGTTATGCTGTAGGGCAGAAGAGAAGCTCAACGTGAAGGAATCAAAGTCAAGAGACGTGCTCGTTGCCAGTCTTGGCCCCACGGTGGGCCTCACTTCATGTTATGAAGGTATAGAGTACAAGTATAGGAAGGTGGCATACAAGGTCAGGGAGCCTCGTCACTTCCCAATGTAACGTGCTGAGCATCCCGAGACCCACACTGCTGAGAACAAGCCGTGTCTACCTTTATGCAGTCCCAGGTAAAGTCATGATATGCGTTCCAGTGCTTACAAACCCTTCCTCTTAGGCTGGATGCCACAAGGAACCCCTGCGTTCAAGGAAGTGCTGATTTCAAGCTGTGGCTACCTTGACATTCAGAATATGAGGCAATATGCCTCCTTTCACAGTCTATCTGTGATCTGGTTGCTCGAGTGTTGTGGATTTGAAGTGGCAGTGCCATAATTGAAATCCCCTCCAGGATTGGACTCGAAGGGATCCTCACATAGTACCAAGGTATAATACTAAATACTTAGTCAGCCCTATCTGTACGTTACAATTGGATCAAACGAGTTACTAACGTCACGAAAATGATTGATCAGCCGCATCGGCGTCTAGTCCAAGCATGTTAACACGTCGTCGTACATGTACGATGTCGGATGTCGTACGTATGACTATGCACCCTGCTTTTTTGGGTAGCACGGGACGATGGACTTCCGAGATTGTAGGTGTCTGATCACCCACCTACACCTTCAGTCAACTAAACGTATTTGGTATCCAGGATCCACCATGATCGAACATGGTAAACTTGCAAAGGCGCCCATCGTGTCATTTGACCTAAGTCCTTCAAGCAGGCTCATGCCAGAAAGAATGCGCGCAAAGCGAGCCGGGATCGAACTGCCATCAGGAATCCGTGATGGAAGATACAGGCATGGATTCGAACAGCTGACAAGGTGTAATGGTTGTGTATGGGGTGGCCGCTACGGGCTGTGCAGACACCGGGTAGCTGAACGAATGCTGACTAGAATCGAAGATGTACACTTGTCAAGCAGAATGAATGAAGAAATGGCTCTGCTCTCTCTCAAAAAGGGACAGCGCGCCCAAATATACGTACAGATTCACCGTAACGTAGTACGGCACAGCGAAATTAGCGGCGAAATTGCAGTAGAAATTGACCAGTCAAATGCAGGCGAAATGCAGGGGTTTCGCGGTAAAAAATCCAACCTATGAACGCTCCTAGCGTCTGACAACACTTTATTGGACCACTGATCCAACCCAGCCTGGGGGGCATATTCTCCTCCGCACTGGAGTCCTTCAGAAGCCAGCATGATAGCAGCCACCATTTCCGCTGGTATACCGATGATTAGGTGCCTGGAAGACACACAGAAGCGCGACCTACAGAATACACTAGGAGCAAAGCCATCGATAAGGAGTATGGTGCTATTGCTTAGAGTCAGGCACGCATTGCCGTTGTTGAAGCCAGTCCCTATATACGTCTGCCAGTATTAAGGCATAGCACTCCCCTTCTTCGATCCGCTGAAGCTCTTTATACCTTTCACCGCTTCTCTCATCATACTGCAGGCATCGTCCGCTGTGAGCGGAGTCAATCTGCTGACGTCCAGTTCGCGTTTCTTGTAATCCTTTGGCTTTGACTAAGACAGCGCTGGGGGCCACAGTTTTGCCTTGTCGAATGGCTTTACAGAAGTTAGTCCATTGATTCCAACATTTTGCGCTCTTTGGCGAACCAGCGCATGTCCACAAAAACATATGTGGTATGGCCTCATATTCTTGAAAAACAACAGTAGTGCCCTGACTAAATGCAGTCTGCGCCCTTGACTTCAGCGACTATCGTTTCTTGACCACTGGCGAAGAACATGGATGGCGACACTGTCCAGTCTTTTAATGCTATGGGACTCGCTAGCGGATGGCACAGCGTGGAAGCGTCGCAGTATAAATTTCCTCGAGGTGGCTTGGAAGGCCAAATCTTGCACGGCGGGAATTTAGGTTGTATATATGGCAGTATGTCGGGAAAGACATCAGCAGAAGCATTCCTTTGTCCGAAGGAAGGCTATTGGTTCAAGTTGGTTCTCTGACTGCACTGATGAGGTTAGCCCAGCAGAAGCTCGTTATCTTGCTCGGAAATCGGGAGCTCGGGCGGGTCTCTACTGACACTTGTTCGATACCCACTCCATTGTAGATCGAGTGCCGAGGACTGTCGGCGGGTGCATGGCCCATTGCCATCCGCCAGCTCGTCAATCACTCGAAGCAGTAGCTTGCGAAGGTGATCTTCCTTTGGAGGTGGTATAGTGAACCTACTACCCATGAATGGCCTTTGGTCGTAATCTCTCTCAGAGATGCGTGTTGTTGAGGAATGGGTGTTGTGCTACTGACGGCAAAGACTCCAGCACGCATCCTCCCACCTCAATTCATCTTGACCCAGGGTATCCATCAAATCAAACAAAGTACTAGTAAATCGAGGCCCTGGATTTTACGTGATTTGCTTTGTTTGACTGATTTGTCAAATCGAGCCATACGATCTCAGTAAGCAATAGGCATTTTAGGGATCACCTTGAATTCTCCTCCAGATCGAGTGTCCGCCAAGACCATTATGATTCTATCGAAATATCGAAACACACCAACCAGATCTGCACACGTGACTGATTAAGTGTATATTATTGTATTAATCCGCGCCTTCCCACCGTCGTCCCACGCAAACTCTTTGTGGCCCAACGGCAGGCGGTAAAACCGGCTGCTAATCTGATTAGCTAGCTAAGTTTTCATAGCAGATGAATGTCTTTCTCTCCTTCCAGTATCTACTCAACCTTCGGGCGTAGAGAGTGGAGAAGGACTGATGCGAACTTTTTGTGAAAATAAATGAGATTAGCACTGGTTAGTATGACATGGGTTCGAACCCGCGTCAGGAAGTTGATTTTTTTATTTAAATTTATTTTACTTTCTGGGGGCTTGTTGTTGGCTAGGAATGCAGAGATAGGATAGATAGAGAGAGGCACACACACAGAGACTTTTCTTTCAAGACTCTAGTTTGACTACTAAGTAGTTAGTAGATTTCAAGACCTAGTGATCGATGACGGAGGTGCACTGCTAGGTGACTTTATGGAGATGGTGATGAAAAGAATCAATGGAGTGAGCATAGGAAAAGTAGGTACCAAAAAGCTGACAGTAAGTAATAGACAGCGGAGAGGAGAGGCGGGGTCATGGGCTCAGGAGTGAGCCAGAGGCGCAATGCCGCCGCTCTGATGGAAATGGTATACTGGCGGTGTCCATTATGGTCTTCCTCGTTGTATGACTGCTGAATCAGGCTCAAGGGAGACTCACCCAGGCCGGGAAGGAGAGTCGAGTATATGAGTCGAACGGGAGATGTAGCCACCTGGACATGTTCGAGGCGCGTAAATAGGTATAATACGCATGTATGAATTCATCCATACAAGGGGCGGGCATACATGATGTACGTCGATTTGCTAGTCCTATTTGACTACCCTGTGTCCTTTCTATCGTTTCGCCACAAAAAACTCCGGGACCCCTTAGAAGGCATCACTATCAAGTTGGGGAACGACGTACCTACAGCTAGCTAACAATTCTCCTGCATCTCACACCTCGCGGCGACGGATCAGTAGCTTAGTCGAGGAACGTGGGATGATTGTCGTGCGCCAGGAGAACGTCCTCGGAGCAGTTTCATCTGCTAATTTGAAGTCATAGTTTCTCAGCATGTACACCAGCGTGGTCTTGATCGCCACTGCGGCATAGAACCTGCCTGGACTGGCCATTCCAAGAGAACAAAAGTCAGCATGTCTGCGCCTCAGTCTGGCTGCAACGCCAGGTTTTGCGGTTTCTTTCAGGGCAGCGTGCTTACCACGACTCCTTTCCATAGCCCCAATAAGGATATAAAGGACTGTTCTCCGTATACTTGATTCCTCTCCGTGCTCCTGGCTTGGGTGCGAACCTGAATCCGTCAAAGGTGTGTGCATCGTTGAAATGTGCGGGATCGCGGCCCATGGCTCTCAAAGGTACGCAGACCGAATCGCCTGCCGTGATGTGCGCGCCGTCGGAAAAGTTGAAGTTCTTGAGAGCCTTGCGCCTCAAGCTGACTGTGGGAGGTTTAACGTCATGTTGATTATTGACGAGGGGCGTCACGACTTACTGGTTTCGGAACCGTTGAGCCGACTTGACTCCTTGAGGAAGCTGTCGAGAAGGAGAAGATCGGCGTCAGATACAAGCCCGTCTTCTTCGGTACAATTATCATGTATCTCCTGGCGGAGTGGTTCTAAGTATTCGGGGTGAAGGCACAGATCGAATAGGGCATAGGTCAGAGTCTGCGATTTTGTTTAGCCTCTTGAAGTTGAATGTGTTCTATCGAGCATGTACCCTACCATAGCGGATAGGTGCATGGAAGCCAGCCAGATTGCTAGACATTGCTGAACGACGTCAGACACCGATGGTTGCTCCTCTCTACCGTAATGGGTCGTCAGACAGTTGATATAGAACGGCTTCTCCTGAAGTTAGGGATCAGAGTCCATGTTGTGAGAGCTTGACATACTGGTCTGTCTCTCCCTTGAGAATTTGAATCCTCAATTCCACGCTTGACTATAGGGATGAGTATAACCCTCAATGACTTGAGCATGCGATGGCCTCGTGTGACTAGCCATGCAACTTGACTGTTACTGCAGCTCAGCCATGGGTGGTGGTACGTGAGGGTTCTGGCAATCACTTACGGAGCAAGAAAGCTTGGAGTATAGTTGAGGATTTCGCTAGCCATGAAAATATCGGTAATCCAACTGCGGGCTGATTTCAGGAAGGAATCTCTGTCTTCTTCATATCATAAGGTTTTGTTAGGATTGGACGGTGTTGGAAACATACCGCAGGAGTCTCCAAAGAACGAATAAAAATTGACGTGACCGATCAAGTCTTCGACCAGTGGGTAAGCCGAGACTTCTTTCCATCCTTTGTTAAGATACATATCGTTAGCTGTACGGCGATCAATGATTCTTCGAAGGCAATGAATCGATACCCTTGATGGATTTGGAACCCTCGAGATGGTGAAAGAGTGTCTCCTGTATTATGGGCTCAAATTGCCGACGAAGGTGAGAAACTCCTGGGGTGAATCTCCTTAGGATCTTTCGATGGCTCATTGCCTGATTCAGCTGGATGGAATGCATAGTATGCGGCATATGAAACATCTACCGTCGAAGCTCTTAGCCTGAGGCTTGTGATATGCCAATGACGGAAGTTACCAACATCACTAAAGAAGGCAGTAAGAGACAGCTGGTCTGCAGTGGCTTTGCCGAGCTCCTGAACGTGCTGCCGAGAGGAGACAACAACACAACGGCCTTGAGGCGTTGGGAGACTATGGGGATTCCCATTCTTCTGCAAAGAGTCAGCTTGAAGGAGAAGAAGCCTCTACCGAGAGTGAACCTTCGCATAATGCTTAGCGAGTACATCTGGTGCTCTGATAAGGAAGTGCAGACCACGGATCCGGTTAAGGTCGATTCTGAGGGCTAGAAAGGGAAGAAAGAAGAGTATGAGATAGAAGATCATCTTCAGTTTCGGTCTTTTGCACGCATTCGGTTTTTGATGGTTCTTGATTCGATACGCACACAGCGCCTGGGAACACAGGTCAATGAAGTCTTGCTCTAGTACTCCATGCCCAAGCTCTTTGTATCAACCCCAAATCTACGGATGTAACTGCCTTCAGCCATTCTGACAGGCCCGTCCTATGTCATGGCTCCTCGACCTAGTGCAAGGTAGTGTCAGTTCCGAACAGTCGACCCTAAGGCTAACGGTTTTGAGCTGTCGAATACCAGGGAAAGACCGCGCATATGCGTCTGGATGGGGTAGAGATTGCTGGGGCTCAAATCCTCTACTAACTTTGCCCAGGCCAGCAGGTCCTTCCTTGACTCTTGAAGAGCTACATATTCTTTACTGGCGAGATGACAGGGGGTCAGATTCTGCTCTCATTGGGTTTGCAGAGTGAACACATCTTTGTTGGGCTGATGTTGGAGAGCTTGGGAAGGGTAATTGTTAGTCGGCTTAACTGCAATAGGGATAGTTTGGCTGTATCTGATAATATGGCCCGGCTTGCTATATTAGCCTTCGTTTCATTATAGACCAATTATTTGCAAATTGAACATGATCTTTAGGCAGTTACCAACTTTTCGGAAGTTGGAAGTTCCAACTAAGATCACGATTTGTCCGATTTTCGGAACGAGTCTAGTGTAACTGTTACCTCGTTGGGGGCCTTGAGCGTTTATTGTTAGGAATGCCGAGCGGTGCAGGATGTATGAGATGGTTATGAACCTTACGTGGGAATTCCGGTGGAATTCCCTCGGTAATCTTACTAATCTAGTATTTTGCCGCACACGTGCATGCCGGGGTTGTACGAATTCATCTTCCTGACATTTATATTGGGGCGGTTACTACGGTAGGGGGCATAATTAATCGTAGCACCGCGCTAGTAGCAGCTAGTTCGGATGCAGCGCCATCGCTATAGGGCCTTGGCGCCTAGAGGGCTATACATCCGAACTTTTGCATCTTAGATTCTAGATAGCTACACACACACACACACCAATTGAGATTTTGAGTCATAGCGCTCCACATCGTAGTGTCTAGAAGCTTCTTAGACGATTGTTGGTATCAATTGGCCATAATAATACCGCTTAACTGTTCAAAGCTTAGCTGTCTCGTTTGGAGTCTGTTTTGGTGCAAATATACTAGCGCTGTGCTACAAATACTTATGCCAGGTACCATATTATTTTAGAGGGCCATACTAATCAGGGGGGGGGCCTGAAGTATTATTAGTTTCAGCGCTAGTATCTGTACATGTACTACAGGGGGGCCTGAAGTAATGTTAGTCTGGCGTTAAGAGCAACTAGTTCTTATTACGACAACCTAATGTTATGATTCGCCACCTCAAAGCTTGTTCTGTGTGCACCTAATCTGATGAGTCAAATCATTACATCTAACCTTTTCCAGGTATAGCTGTTCTGTACAGAGAGGGTTTACAAGTAAAGATACTAGCGCTGAGCTAACATTACTTCAGGCCCCCCGTAGTAAATCAGCTCTGTACAGACCAGCTATATCCAAAGAAGTTAGATGTGATCAATTGACCCGTCTGAACAACAATAAACTTTAAGAATGACGAATGGACACACTGCATCATCGTAGCAAAAACTGGCCGCTACTAGCAGCAGACTAACATTACTTCAGACCCCGTAGTAGCTCAAGGCAAACATGTTTCATGTCATGCATGACGCCTCCGGTTAATCACGAGCTAATGTTTTTTGATGTCATGCCCTCAGGCAGAAGTAGTAATCTAGCGCCGTGCTATGACTAACTCTTGCCCCATGCCGTAGTATGAACCAATTCAAAGGATTCAAAGTGGCCCCTGCTTGATGCGGCACAGGATTCTGGTACCGGAAATGCTTCCATATTCTGCAGCTGCGCCGCCAGGACGGTCTGACAGGCTTGCAAGGTTGGAATCACAAAATCACTAATTTACTGGTAGCTGTTGGACCAAAAGGACCACGGCCCTCAGAGGACCGTAAACTAGCTTTTGTCTGACAGTAGCATTTGCTTGCTAGATCGGGTTGTTAGGAAATATCGTAGTAGGTGATAGCTAGGTGGTCTCCTCTTCGTCGAAGTTCGTTGTTAAAAATACACCATAGCACAACGTTGGTACATCTCGTGTTCTCATCCACAACGACGATTGTACAATGCTCGGATCTATCAGCAATTTCGTCCTAGATGCGTGGCTTGACTTCCTCAGCCTGAATTATTTTCTGCGTTTTCCGATCCTCTTCGTTGTGGGTGTCGCCCTCGTTTGGCTCTCGTGGCGGACATGGAGATTCTCCATCTATCCCCTGTTGAATCCCGACGAACCTCGAGAAGTGCCTTACTCGATACCATTCCTCGGTCACGCCAGAAGTTTCCTCAAAAATCAAGATAAAGCCCTATCATATGGCCGAGAGTATTTCAAAGGCTCAAGGGAGCCGTTCGCTTTCACTCTGGGACGGGAGAAGTTGTACATTTTGACTTCTTATCAGGACGTGGCCACCGCTTATAGGAACACTACTGTTTTTGACTACGGCGATGTCATCAAAGATCTCATGGGAAGCTTTGGAGTCAGTCCACCAGGCATCGATAAGGTGTACCACCCTTATCCCGAGTTCGAGGGTGATATTCATCGATACAACCCTCGTCCCAAAAGCCTGTTTCACCTAAAAAGCGACTTCTACCATACGCAGCTTCATCCGGGGGAGCAATTCAAAGACATCCAGGATAAGTTCCTCAAACTTATTGGCGATGCAATGAGTTTCGAAAACTTCCCCCAGGACGTCATTCCATCATCCACTATCAACAATATTTCACTCTACAAATTGTGTCAACAGGTCTTTGTGAAAGCGGGCATCAGAGCTTTTTTTGGAGAACGGATTCTGCAGATTAGCCCCTCTTTCGTATGTGATTTTATTGACTTTGATGAGAACAACTGGATGATTTTCTATAATTGGCCTGACGCCGCACTGGCGCGGAAACCCAAGTCCAAAGTTCTTGCAACTCTCGAAGCTTATCTCAAGCTGCCAAAGGCAGAACGTCCGGGAACCGCCTGGCTCATTGAGATGATGGAGGAGTCGCAGAGGCAACTAGGAATGAACGAAGCAGACATCGCAGTAGTATTGATGATGCTCATGTGGGTGTGAGTGATCTTTATGCCTCCTATGTCCTTATCGAGACCCAGCACTGACTTACCCCCAGCACCAACACCAATGCGTACAGGGTGACATTCTGGATGCTGGCGTATGCATTCCATTCACGTAGCTTACTCTCGACCTTGTACGCGGAGACCGGGCCATCCCTGAAAGCCGACGGTTCCATAGACATCACCTACCTGATGAATCAATGCCCGCACCTCGACTCGCTCTGGTACGAAATCCTGCGCCTAACCAACGCCTCCTCAGCGCTGCGCACCGTCACCGAGCCAACCAGAGTCGGCACGAAGCTGCTGAAGCCCGGCCACAAGGTGATGAGCCCCTTCCGCCAGCTTCACTTCGACGAGAAGGTGTTCGGAGCAAACGTCGGTCAATGCGATCCGGACCGTTTCTTCAACCGGAAGGACCTGGCACGTCATCCCAGCTACAAACCATTTGGCGGAGGCGTAACCAAGTGTCCTGGCCGCTTTGTCGCACATCAGGAAACGTATATCTTTATCACGTTGCTGCTGCATCGGCTGAAAGCTGAGTTGGCGAACGAAGGGCAGCAGCCGTTTCCTAGATTCGAATTGGATACACCGACCACGGGGATCATTAGCCCGAAGACTGGGGATGATGTTGTCCTTTCTGTATCAGCGAAGATTGAAAGCTGCGATTGCAGCAGTTAGTCAGCGTGCGTTTTGATATGAGGTTTCGGGTCTTGTCCAGATTTCAGTTTGATTAATCCCTTGATTGACCCTTGATTTTCTTTACTGGTTCGATGTAATTAGTTTGTGCGTAGCACTAAATCAAGCTGTACGCCATGAATACTGACGATTATTCCACAAGAAAATTAATGTTGGGAAAGCAAATGCTCTGCTAAGATTCTTGATTGATGAATAATCGTCGTTAAAGAGCTCCTTGATTGCCTTTTTTGGGCCTTTAGATTGACCTAGTTGCCAGCAACGTGCGCTATTAAAAGCATGCCTTTTTACTGACATCAGCGAAAGTCTTCAATCTGCCTCCTCACGAATCCTTCTCTACCGCCAAGCCGAACTTTGACAAATATTCCTCCCGTATGCCTTTAAAATCGCTGGCCAGACATGGTGAGACGAGATCTTGCCACCATCCCTTCCGATGGGACACCAAACCCACATCCTTCATCAGCTTGTCCGTGTAGCCGATCAGGTCCATGTGGAAGTAGTTTCCCGTTGCGCCGTGAGAGGGATATCTTCGTTTGGAGAAGGCAGCCATGTATGCGATCTCCTTCTCAGCCTCCTCTCGTGGTGGTAGCTCGACCCTGCCGTCGAAGTACGCCGTTAGCCAGATGGCTTGGGCTTCGGCGGTGCGGAACGAATTGGACAGGTCGATATCGCCCAGAAAGGCTATAGTTTTGTCCTCCAATGGCGCGATACAGTTGTACAGCCTGGTAGCTGTGATATTCGTCGGACGTTCAAAGTGAGGCGGGGGATGGGCAAGCTGTGGGAACTGCGCAATGACTTGGTGGTCTGCGGCTTTCAGAAGATTCTCCCACTTGCTTGATTCTTCGGCGTCTTCTTCATCTTCAGGAGCATGCGGGAGGCCGAATTCCACGATCTGGTCTTTTGCAAGGAACGGGTAGTGCCGACTCCATCCAGTGCCGCAGAAAAGGACATCAGATTCGATTTCTGATCCGTCTTTTAGGACAATACTGTTAGGCCGCATCGCGCGGATATCGCTGCGATATACGGAAACGTTTTTCGCAATAGTGTCCCAGAAGTCCTCGTGTTGAATCATCCCAATGGGGCCTGTACACCAGAATATCCTATTTTGTTAGTGGAGAACTGCTGAGACTCGACAATTGACTTACGCAGTGGTCGACTCTAATTTCTCAAAACCTGGCCGCGCTCCTTCTCTGCTCTGAAATTTTGCAAGATCGCGACATGCTTGATCAGCTCCGAGCCAAATCTTAGCAATTAACTTGCGCCCGTACTCTGAACCGTGAATAGTCTTGGTCCACCATGTGACTGGAGAGAAACAGGAGGGGCTTAATGCACAAATCATCCTGGTCGCTGCAATTTCCGGCCCATTTTTATATGGGCCTTTCCCAGCAGCACCCGCAAATGCAGCCGGACCTTCACCTGTTTGACGGATGATCCAGCTCACGGTTTTCCCAGCCTTGACCGAGTCGTAAACCATATCAGCCGCAGACTTCCCGCCACCAAGGATCGTAACATTGTGGTATGATGAAGAAGAAGCAAGAATGGTAGACGAAGCTTTCCCAAAACTTTTCTGATGCAGTACAGGACCTTTGAATCTAGCTTGCTCAGGTAAATCCGGCATGACAGGGAGTGACGTATGGCCAGTGGCAACAACAAGCTTGGATGACCAGATGGTTTCGACTTTGTCATTACGCTGACCCGAGACTCTCCATTTTCCTTCCTTTCGGATACTTTCAACCTTGAAGCCGAATTTCACTCTGTCTCGCAAAGTTAAGCCATTATATTTGTGACTATCGACGTAGTCCTCGAGGTATTTGGTGACGTATTTAGCTTCGAAGATGTCGTGGTAGGTCTCAGCCTCCGGAGGGAGAGTGAGAGGAGTGTCCGAGAAGCCGGCCATTCGCAACCCACTCTGCGACCAGAATCCATTGTAAAGCCGGGCTGGAGAAACAGATTTGCATCAAGTCAGCGTCCTGGAGAACCTTCAAGGAAAACATACATGAGCTCCATACTCCACCAACGCATGTGTCCTCCTCCAAAATGGCAAGTCGACACTTTGGGTTTATGTCTAGATAGAACCGAGAGGCTGCAATGCCGTGGAGACCTGAGTGCACAGGAGTCAACATGCTTCTTATCTTCCTTTGCGGTACAACGTATTCATACCTGCACCAACCACAATGAGATCGAAATTGGCCATGAGTGTCCGTCGAAATTGTCTAAAGGGCCGCCGTAGCTTCTAGCCAATAGTTCTGTGTTTGCGACTTTTGCGACTAATGAACACACTTTCGCTAGGTCCCAAGTTGAGTATATCTAATTCAATGGCCTAGTTGTTACTTACAAAAACACGAAATAGTCTGGCCGTCGGGTTTGGTTGGGTGGTAGCCTAGTTAGTCCAGGTGATTGTAGGTGGCTTTAGGGTAGACCAATGATGATTAGCCTCGGATGCGGGCAGGGCTGGGAATTGAACAGGCGTGCCGAGACGGTGAGCTGAGCCTTGATAAGGTGCATACATTTTACCGCAAGTGCTGTGACCCCTCTTTGTTGGAGCAAAAGGAGGACTGCATGTCTATTCCCCCCGTCCGTGCCCCGGACTTGGGGCTCCGTAATAGCTTGGCTTAACTAGCGTTGCCGATCCTATCTATTTCATTATTTAGTTTCACATTTAAACCTTTCTAGCTCTGCATGTTCTTGCGTCCTATAAGTAGCCGTGGCCCAATGGGTGGAGCCCTAACAGGGCCCCACTTGCAGGGGGTACCCCCCTTACAAGCCCGCGCGCAGCGCGTGGCTCTCACCATAACGCCCATATCAGCGTAACGCGCATCTTAATGCCACTAATTGAATTTGAATGAGTATAGATAGTGCAAAATTCGCTCAATTAGGAAACTATTACTCCTCAACGAATGGGAAGCCATTTTCAACGCTCCACTGCAAATTTGAGAGCTTGCGGCGCTCATCTTCTAACTCTTTTCGTAGGTCTTCTTCTCGCCATAGGGCCCTCTGGAGCTGTGTACCACCCTCTTCTACGCGCTGTGTGACCATATTTCGAGCCTGCGAAGCCAATAAAACTCCTCCTTTTTGTAGTTGACGTTGAGATTGAGTCCTTCGTTCTCTTCGTTCTTTTTCAGCTGCTGTAGAAGCTTCTAAATCCTTCCGAAATTGTACGGCAGTTTTAGCCTGAATGAGGGCACCTTTGATGAATTTTTGTTGTATTAATTTCTGATGACTTGGAGTTGCTTTTTCTAGCTGAATAGCTTGCTTTTTAAGTGCTTAAGCAGTTAGAGGTGTTATAGAAAGTAGGATTTCATTCTTAGGAGGTATAGAGGGTTGAGGAGGAAGAGGTTGATATTCCTTGATTTTTTTAAGTATAATCTGTGGATTATACAGAATAAGTCCACATATTTGTGAAATGAGAGGAATAGAGTTCTTTTTGAAAGTTGATTGACGAATTCTATAGATAGCTGTAAGAAATTCGAGCTTATCAAATTTACTGTATCCTGTACAAGTTGCTTAATCCACAGCCTGAGCATGCCAGTACTTATACGGCTGAAATAGTATTACATTAAGCGGTTGAAGAAAATGAGTAGTATACAGAGGGAACGCGAAGATATGGATATTCTAGAGTTCGCAGAATTTGAGGATCTCTTACGTCAAATAGCTCTTATAACTGTTACACAGAAGGATTTAATACACGCTAACCCTTATATGTCGACTTTGACGCTCAAAATGCTAAATATATGTGTAAGAGAGCTTATTATTAGCATATCTAGTATCTGATATACTTATTAGGACCTTATTCTTAAGATCTTGATAGAAACGCTCTAAATATATATATTATTCTATTTAACGTCTGTTTAGTCCCTATTTATAGGGCTATAAAGCGCTCTAAATAGATCTTGCTTAGCAGAATAAGCATTAATTTAATAATAACTTCTACTGCGCTAACTACCTTTATAGCTATTACGTATTTATAATTATTATCTGAAATTAAATAATGCTGCTTTAAACGCAAAGAGATCATTATCTACTGTGATTTCCTTACTCTTATTTAAAAGCTTATTTCATTAAAATTCTATATTAAGGCTTAACTAGTTAAGACAAGTCTTAACTAGAAGCTGGGTCTAAAGGGTTGGTTGAGTAGAACAGGAAGTGCAGTAAATAATACTAAGATGTCTTCAACTTAGGTATGAGTTGATAACATGAGTTGACTACGAAGACTATGAAACTACCTAGGAAATGAGCATGCTTATATAGAGTAGGAGATTCGTGCTCAGAGTTGATCATCCTGATCACCTCTGATCATTGCTTATGAGTGCTCACCCTGATCACCCCTGATCACCTCTGATCATTGCTCATGAGTGCTCATCCTGATCACCTCTGATCATTACGTTGTCCAGGTCTGACCATGTGTGTAGTTCAGGGTCTAGTTCTGTCTAAGTCTGTCATAGTTTCTTTGCAGAGTGTTAGGCAGCTTTATAGTGCCTGTCAGTGCTTAGCGTATTTATATACTGTAACACTATCCCCTCTTCTTACTAGCTT